CTATAAAAAACTATGAGTAATTATAGCTAAATTATTATTCAACTATTATTAAATTATTAGAAATAGGTTATTATTATTTTTATTACTGATTAAATTATTGTTATTACTAAAAAAAATGTGGAAATATTATTACATTTAATTAAATTATTAGTTAAATTACTATACTAAACTAAAGTACTATAACTATGGAAGACTACTAAAAGTACTAAAAATATTAAACTATAAATATATATACTATAAATATACACTATACTCTTAATAAAGTGTTTTTCGCAGCTCAAAGAAATTCAGTATGAAGTCACAGAAAATGAAAGAAAGCAGCAATTCTTCACACTGAGAGGCTGAAATCGAAAATGGTTGCAGATTAATGTTCTGTTGATTGACCAGTCGTTACAGCTCTAATGTTTGTACGAGATATATATTTGAGCCCAACTGATACTCTGATTTTTGAGGCTGATATTTTAGACATCTTTCTGGTGACAAAATGAGCTCGAACTATAAAACACAGAATTCAGAAAAATTAAAATAGAAAGCACAAAATCTTGAAACAAAACAACAGGAACGGGGAAAAACTTTAAATGGATTTTATTGGGTCCAGTGTAACGGAGGTTGACTTTCACCATATCTTTCCTATCTAACATACAGTGTACTTCACTGTCACTGATCGGACCACATGAACACTGATAGATCAGATCAGCTGATCGTATCAACTCTCTCTGTCTGTCAGTGACTGAAAACTGTGAACTGTGTGAGTCCGGAAACATTCAGCTTTACAGAAAAGAGCTGTGATTAAAGGGACAGCAGTCAGTCAGCTGTTATTACTGTAAACACACACACACACACACACACACACACACAGAGCCCAGCCTGATAATGTCACAGAGTAAAGACGGACTAAAGTCTTCACAGGTTCACTCAGACCTGAGACCAGAGTCCTGGATCTGTTTTGATAAACACACTCTGCTGTTTTTAATAAAACAATATCATGTGTAAATATAAATATGTATTTATTATAATAATATGTAGTTTACAGTTTAAATTATATTGTTTAGTAGAAGAAACACACACAGAGTCTGAGTTCAGTGTTTGACTGTAAAGAGCAGAGAAGCTTCTAGATGTTCAGGTGAGGACTTGTTTTTGAGATATCAGCACAATCAGCTGTGTGTGTGTGTGTGTGTGTGTGTGTGTGTGTGTGTGTGTGTGTGTGCGTGTCAGCGTCTCTTGTGTCACTGCTAAACAGGACTAAAGGATTCAGAGCTGTTTGTACCTGCACCACTCTTATGTACAGTTCACACACACACACACACACCTGTAGTGTCAACACATATCACATATCAACATTTGGCCGAGGACTGTCCACGTCCACATACGACGTCCAAGGTACCCTGGGTGTATTGGTTGTTGACGTGCTTACAGTCTTTCAAAATAAAAGCACTACGTCGGTACAACACCGGGAACATTGGTTTCACAATCTCACTGTAAACGAACACCGGCCCCTGGGTGAAGTTGGCGTCTGTTGGACCCA